GGAGTCACTTCTTCTCTGAATGGTTGAATGATTGAATTATATGAATATGCCTAAATACATGATGCTAAAAAAAGATTAATCTAACGCCGAAACGATGCTCACTATACAACATATAGACAAAAGTCGGAACGAGAGAAATGAACCTTGGTCCATCCTCTCCTTATCTTGCAGCTCCCAAGGCTTCTCTAGGCCTCTGTTGCAGCTGAACAAATCCGTTAAACCATGTTGATGTATGTGTACAGTTGGTTGATGGGTTGGTTACCTATTCCAGAATCGATAATTTCCCGTTCTATACTCGGCGCGAATGAGAGCGCTGGATGCTCGCGCACTGTCCAGGGACACAACTCGTTGCAGTTTTCGACACTGACTGAAGGTTCGGCTGGATGAATTCTCTGGGCTCCCCAGGCCGGATCAGGAGCTGGACCCACTCCCCCGAGGCTTCTTTGTGTCCAGAATGAATATGTTGCTCTGCCAGATTTCTCCGAATGGAATGGTGCTTTTCGTGGACATGTCAATGTCGTATCGCATGCGCTGCATACCGATATACGCTTGCAGGATGGGCAGGAAGAGTCGAAGAGGCGACATATTGTGGTTTGGTGAACGCTCGAGAGCCACAGGTCGACCGATCGATGTGCACATCCGAAGCGTGGTGTCATATAATCTTCCCTGCCCACTTGGCCTGACTCGGTCGTGAGTTGGTATTCTGTGCGAAGAACCAGCTGGTTGTCGGCATTGATTTCTGGAAACAACGATGTCTTCAGCTCGGTTGCGCCATACTGCTCGGTGCATGTATGCCAGCAGTAGCGGCCGTCAACGGCGTCCCCGAATTGTAATTTCAAGGCTTGCAGTGCCACCTGTCGCACTCGAACGTGATCCGCGAGATCGAGTTTGTCGCGGAAAGTTAGTTTCTTGCATGGGCATAGGTCGACAACCCCTGCTAACTCTCCGATATTGCATGTTCGACTTTCTGGCTTCCGTCTCAACTCTCTGGATGAAAATGCGGCTCGAGGGTGGAGTTTCAAACACTTGGAGCATAGTTTCCAGCGGGGGTTTTCCAACAAGTTGAGGAATGCCCACCGGGGCATGTCAAAGTTATGTCCATTGCGGTAATGGTGGAAAAGCGGCGCAAAGTCGCGACTGAAATGGAGGGATTTTGAGAGTAGGATCTCTCCGGAGATTGCGAACATGCGCTTGTTGGTCAGTGCAAGCGCAGCCTCCGGCAGCACTGTCAGATGGGATACGATCTCCAGCAACAACTCGGTGGGTAATTCCATGAGGTAGCAACGGCCATGGCCATCCTCCTGTTGCTTCTTTGACCAGGGTCTCATTTTGATGATGGTCTTGAACTTCTTTGTGGCGCGGTATAGACGATCGGACATATTGGACGGGGAGTCTCTTATTAAAGCCATGGATGCTTGGATTGAAGGTCGCTCAAATATGTTCAGTGACCAAGCCTCATGAGAGATTGTGAATCAACAAGATGGGTAGTGGCGTTTCGACTATTATCATGCTGTAGTAGACATCAAGCGCATCGTGTGACAACCAGTGCTGCATCACCTTCAAAAGAAAAGAGAGCAGGTTCAGGTCCTTTGACCTTGAAATAGTCTGTTGGAAGATAAAGATTCCCGGAAACGGACCATGGGACTAGGCCACAAAAGATGGGTGTAAATGCTATCAGCATTACATATAAAGAGGCAGAGGAACTGATTATTGGTGGCTTAGCCGTTCTTTGTCTGATGATCCATATGCAGAGCACCGGATACTTCAACATTTCCACCCTACATTTACCATGGTCGATTTAAGAAGGACATGCTATTGTCGGAAGACATGGGGATTTCTCCCTGTGCTTGACGCCGGAAGTGCATTTAGGGCTTCCGCATGCGGCAAGGCGATTGCCGCATTGAGCATCATATCATCATCACTTCGTATTCGGCGGAATGCCCCCAACTCCTCCCAACTGCGCCAGATAAGGAGTGTTTCCTGCATCAAAGCTAATCTCAGGCCGTGTCTGCGCTATGACATTGTCAACTGACTACGTGCATGACGAAAAACGCCCGCATGTTATGTTATCAGGTCCCGTGCAGCCCTCCGAATCATGACTAAGCCATCCTTGCGACACAGATCACCTGACATATTGTGCATAACTATATGTATCACATGCAAAGGCATAAAATTAGCTTAGTCACACTGAACCATGGGTAAGAGGCGGAAAATCCGAACATAATTTTTTGCCGAGGTCAGATCCATATCAACTTTGGGCTCTAGATCCTTCGATCAGCATTGTGCTTTTAAGCCTGTTTTTTTCTTTTCCAAGAGTCATTGGATATCAATTTGTCCGTTTATTTGATTTCAGCATTCCTTAGTGTTTAGATATCCCTCATGCACGACCTCATCTCAACCCTTCTGAATTCAATCCCCCTATCAGTCCTCTTATCCGGACTAATCGCCATGGGCTTGATTTCATGGCTTCGTCCGAAGGGCCGCATAGCTTTCCATCACGCCACGAACAATAAGTTGACATTGACCAAAGTTGGCGGTGCTGGAGGTGCTAAAGAAAAAACTACCTTCGTGGATGTCTGTCGGTCTGCAACACCAGAAACATGCAACCTAAACCCTTTCTTGTTCAATGGGCACCTACAGACAGCCTGGACAACTATGAAATACGACGATGTCCCCATTTACTACAAACGTAAAATTTTCGAGTCAGATAGCCCCGCATTCTCGGGCCATTATGCCATGGATTTCGTGGTCGCACCGTACGACATGCCTCAAGACCCGGAGCTTACGGATCAAGCGAGAAAGTATACGCAAAAGTGTGGTCTGCCATCACGGACATCCTTTTTCTCTAAGGATGAATTTGCTGCGCTGCCCTCAGATGATACTAAGCCTATGCTTGTGCTTCTGCACGGGCTGAGTGGTGGCTCCCATGAAGTATACTTGCGGGAAGTCCTGGCACCGCTTGTGAAAGATGGCGCATGGGAAGCATGTGTTGTCAATTCAAGAGGATGTGCGGAGACAAACATCAGTACCGGTGTCCTCTACAACGCCCGAGCTACTTGGGATGTTCGCCAAGCTGTTAAGTGGATCAGGGCGCAGTTCCCCAATCGCCCTCTTTTTGGAATTGGCTTCTCACTCGGTGCCAACATTCTCACTAATGTATGACCCCTGCAAAGCTGACTGTCTACACCCACTGACAAAATGTGTAGTATCTGGGAGAGGAAGGTGAAAACTGTCAATTGAAGGCAGCCGTGATTTGTGCGAGCCCGTGGAACTTGGATATTGGTTCTATGATTTTGCAAAGCACCTGGATTGGCAAGGAGGTATACAGCAGAACCATGGGGTCAAGTATGAAGAAGCTCTTCGAGGCGTGAGTAACTCTATGTTCGGCTGATGTGAAAAGTCGACTAATCAAGTGAAACAGACATGTTGATCAAGTCTCGACAAACCCTCGCATCGATGTTGATGCGATAAGAAAGATTACCTACCTACATGAGTTCGACCGGTAAGAAGAATTCGTTCTGGTCAAAAGAATCCGATTCTAACGTGCAACAGGGCTCTGCAATGTCCGACCTGGGGCTACCCCACCGAGGGAGCATATTACCGTGATGCCACTTCCACCGATTCCATGCTTGCTATCAGGATTCCTTTCCTTAGTATTCAAGCCGAGGATGATCCTGTAAGTTATCAAAGTCCTATGTCAACCATTGAAAGATCGCTGACTTTATAGATTGCTTGCCGAGAGGCTTTGCCCTACCAGGAAATGACCCAAACGCCATATGGAGTCATGTTGACTACATCGTGGGGTGGCCATCTCGGCTGGTTCGAGCTTGGAGGGTCCAGGTGGTTTGTCAAGCCGGTATGTAACTCGCAATGGACATTGGCATCGAAAGTAACTTCATACTAACCGTTCCTTTAGGTGGCGAACTTCTTTAACAAAATGGCAAGGGAAATTGACACTAGCATCCCTGGTGTTGTTGAACACCCTGAAAAACTCCCTGGAAACATTGCCTGCCACGAAGGCGCCAACAAAAAGCCTGACCTGGCACCTAAGCCTGAGTACGTCCCGATGCGACGCAAACTCGCACTACCTTTGGGGCTGTAATTGCCCCTCAAACATTCTGCCCTCCCAACCAACTGCTACAATCACCAGGTTCAAAAGCGACAGGTCATAATGGGTTACAAGGGGGAACCACAGCATGGACGGTGTTTCTGCAAAATGATGTTTCTGTTCCGATAGACATAGATTGATAAACCGGTGAAAACGCCGAACCCCGACATCTAAATACATAATCAAAGTATAGACACAAATTTTCAGACTTTTTTTAAGCAAATGCAACGGTCTTCTTCTTTGATCGCCCGGGCTTCGAGATACTATCCTTGATACTCGTTGGCTCCCCGGACTTGTCACCCCTGCCCTTCTTCTTTTGACGGATGGAATCCTTGACATCGTCGAACTTGTTCTTCCTGTCCTTCATGCGGGCCTCGGCCTCGGCCCTCTTTGCCTCGTGGATTTCTTCTAATTGACGAGCCTTCATCATCTTGGACTCGATCTGGCCTTCCTTCTCGGCGTTCACGATGGCGAGAATTGTCATCATGCCCTCCTGTAGGTGATAGTATTAGTATAAGACTTCCGTAGGTGCAATCAAGAGAACATAGCATGGGAAGCAAAACGTACCGCATCATCGACGAAAGTCTTGCCCTTCTTCTTGCCCTTGGGCTTGATCACTCCAACGGGTGTGATTTGGTTCAACTCGGGCAGATCCAGCTCCTTCTCGGTGTATACTCTCTTCTTCTTTCTCTTCAGGTTTTCGTTGGCAGTCCGGGACTTGGTCTTCTGTTCCTTGGCGGGGGGACGCTTGGGACCATCTTTCGATTTGCTGACGCGCGAGGCAGCCGCCAGACTGGCAGACTTGCCTCCCTTTGCGCCTCCTTTGGCGCCTCCTTTCGCGCCTCCTTTTGCGCCTCCCTTGGCACCTCCGACGTTAGGAGCCATTTCGTAGTGCTTGAAGAATTGACTGAGTTGAGACGAGGCGGACAGAGATTGAGGAATGCAAAGATTGATAGAGCGGCGAGAAAGAGTTGCGATCACTTCAACAACCCAGAATTATCGAATAAACTCTGCAACCGAATCAGAGATATCGAAAAATATTCGACAGAAAAAAAACAAGAGCAGAGAAACGTCGCGCAGACGGTCCGATAATCCCCAAATTCGCAAAGATTTTTTTTGAAAAGGCAGGCGGTGAGCCTAGCCCATTCCACCACCAACCTCAGATCGAAACCTCCACCCTCATAGCTCCGGAACCCACGTTCAATTCCCTCCCGTCTTTCTGCACCAGTGATTGAACCACGCTGGATTGAGTGGGTACTCGACTCTCCTCAACATGACTATCAACCCTACCTACCTGGCGCAGCGCTCGCGCTCCTGTTCGTCCCCCACGCCCGATGCGTTCCGCCGTCCACCCGGCGGGATCGTCAATGGAGTCTATCGCGAATAGGTGCTAACATAGTTGCTCATATTTTAGCTGTCAACTGGGGTGATGCGAAATTCCGAGTCCTGAAGTCGTACCGGGAATGGCTCCGCGCGGTCAGTTTACCCCGAGATCCTAGACGATCCTCCACCTTCTCCCTTGATACGCTCTTTACTCCGTTCCTGGCATATATCGCAGGAGCGGATTGATTAGTGGCTCTTTTTCATCCTGGCTTCAAAGGCTACAATTGACCCCGCAACGGACTCAGCTAACCTGATATCACCATACAGTCCCCCGAGATCCAGACCATGTACTCCCTCGGCATGCCTGTATCCGCCATCCGCACGAAGATCCGCCAGGAGTTCGAGAGACACCGCTACGTCAAGCAATTGCCAGTCGTGGATGTGCTGTTGTACCAGAGCCACGCCGAGTACCAGGTTAGTCCAGGTCCAACCTCTGTCCCGGTGTATATAATATGCCTTTGCAACATGCGATTCTTTCAAGAAGACAATTATGAGAACTAATGCTTCTCGTCTTTATTTGATTATCCATTGTTGTAGTCACCCCGCAATTCAAGATTAAATGCTGACATTATATTAATCTAGGAAACCCTTAACTACTGGAAGCAGCTTTCTCATGTTATGAAGTACTTCCGCCCAGAGGAAGATCCTGGCGCACGGCTACCACCCAACTTTGTCTCTGGTTTCCTCGAGGGTCGCAATTAAAGCTCTCCTTCTGTTTCTTTCTCTCCCATTTCCTATCCCCTTCATCTCGTTTCCGGTCCGCGGTGTGGCAGTTCAAGGAACTGCGCCATCGATAGACATGATGTGTATATATTGTCTGAATAAGCCATTCCATTATCTTATCTCGTTCCTGTCAAGCCTGGCTTGAGACTTGCTGCTGGCCGCACACATCTTGGTAATAAGTTCGTAGAATGCATCACGAATAAGTTCTCTATGTTCATCAAGTATTCTTATAAATATGCACCAAACAAACCAAAACAAGCTTCTCATGCCCGAGCTAGAAAATATACTTTTCCCTCTACCCAGAACGCCAACTAAATAATACATATGCAAACAAACCACTTCATGCCTATGCCTCCATACGGTTCCCACTCTCCGCATTAAATTGATCCCGCGAGGCAGTGAACTTCTCCGTTACAACATCGCACAAGTCCATCAGATCATTGAAGCCCTTTTCCAGAGCCTCGAGAGCAGTAGTAGTATCTGTAGCCAGTCAGTAAACATCCACACCCCACATCCACATCTCACATCCCACATCCGGAAATAGAACAAGAAAGCAGCAGTAACGAGAACATACCATTAGTCTGGATACGGACGTTCATCTTCGGATCCGAGGGGTGGGGAATAGTGTACCCGCAGAACTCAACGGCAGGACTATTAGCAAGTCAGCAACGCTCTTCCCAGACCTTCAACCCCAATTCTGTGAACCGAAAACATCGATACACACGAATCTAGTCTCGCAGCGCAATACACTCACTTCTTCATAATCGCATACCGCAGCGCATTGCCCATGGTGTGGCCTTCGCCTTCGAACTGGAATGAAGCGGCGGTTTCGGTGGCACCGGCGAGCTGTAAGGAAGTATGGTATTAGCTTGATGCTCTCTTTGGGCATATGATCGCTAGGTCCATTCGGGTACCCGCGCAGATCGGATACGTACCACGACAATCTGTCGCTCCTCGAGGATGGGGTCGTTGGACTGGAGGAGCTCTACGGGCTGCTCTGCGTCGACCATGGACTGGTCCAGGTCTTGGGAGTGGACGGATTCAGGCATTGTGGTTTTGTGAGGGTGGCTGTTTGGGATTTGGGGTGGGTGGTTCGGATTTGCAAGACGGTCGGTTGATGTCTTTGCTGGCGTTTGGCTTGGAAGCTTGGACTTTAGCCTAACGAATTTGCGCGATTTGGATCTCCAAGTCGAAGATTATCGCGAAGAAAAAAAGGTGGGTTATCGATAGTCGGGTCTCACCGCCTACTGTTTTTGTCTATAAATTGCATTGTCGAATATAGATGTGATGATTATTCTAGTAGGGTTGTTAGATTGTTATGGATTTATATGATATGTTCTTTGTATTCTTTTGAAAAAGTCTTCAACCTAGGTTCTTATAATAATACGAAGTGGTGGATCACACAGTGTTTATCAACCATTTCGTCCCCCACTATGCGCAGAATAATGTTGGGAGTAGATCCTTTCCGTAGACGATAAGATACTCCTGACGTGGAAGTATAATGATTCCCTCTTTGAACTTACCTGCAGTATGACGGGTTAAGTATACGAGGTTTAACTATATTACATGGATATCTCTCGATACTTAAATAATTAGTAATATCCTATGAAAAGTAAGAATCTCAATAGTTACATGTATATTATAGTATGAAACAAGGTAATGTCAGTTTCAGCCATCTTTTCATCGCCAACACCCTAAGAACTGCACAGATGATATGCAACTCAAGGCACGCACCCCTGGTCTGTGCATCTACAAGGGCCGTGACAGGAGGCCAATCAGTCTAATTTCAGAGGCAGACCAGGGTCTATTATTACTCTATAAGGAATAGTGATGCTCGAAATAGGTAACCCGTGAGAATATACCTGAATTACTTTCAGTCTCAGTTTCAGTTTCAGTGTTTTCGTACTCGCATGACTTTGGACGCCACACACTAGTGGCCCCTTTGATATAAGCGCCCGCTGCGCCTTGTTTGACATATAACGCCATGCGAGTGGATGGAGGTGATGTGACATGTTTTTTTTTTCTGCCAAGCGTCCACAGGATGAGGTTGGGTGGGGGGGATGTGATTCGATAAATTTGGTATCAGGAGGTGCTAGTCTTATTTGCTTGTTATACTACTGTTAGAGAAGGGATCCACCGTGTAGCGAATTATTGAAGTGTAAAAGCGAGATAAATATAGTTGTTAAGGGTTGGTACGGAGTAGTTAGGGAGGACTATTGTTAATAGTGGGATTTAGTACATATATAGTGACCTCCGTACAAAATACAAGTTACAACATACACTCTTATACTAATTACAGTCCTCTCCGTACTCTACAAATATATCCTAATCCTAAAACAATAAAATCGGTGGATCCTAAACAGAAACACATCGTGTCTCAGTTGGGTCCACCGGGCAGCTCGGGTATCTAGTACTTAGCTGGGGTGACCGCTGATGCCTTTTTCCCCTCTTTGTCATTCGGAGGATCAACGTACTGTGTACTTTATCGCCCAGATTAATTTCTTTTAACCTTCCCCTGGAGAGCTTCGGCGATCTCATCTTCCTTTTTATTTTCCTAAGCCTGGAGGTGTCGACCCCCTCTCGGACTTTCTTTATCGTCCATTTCTCTCGCTTGTAACTCTGGACTCTGGACTCTAGTCTGCCGCTTGACGCTTAACCGCCCTTCTTCCCTCTTCTCGTGGGATATCTCTCTACACTTGGATATACTGAGGCGATCCCACGTTTCGATCCGCTTTTCGGACTTTGCCCGCATCACTCCATGCCCTTGCATCTTCTGAAGGAGTATCAAGTCAATATACAGTGAACACAGTGAACACAGTGAACTACTATATACCGGAACCATCTGCGTGATACCTTAAAACCGATCTCATCGTCTCGACCATGTCCACCGCAGTTGCATCCGCGGCGGCCCCCTTGTCATCGCCGCACCCGACTCGCAACCCAAGCCCAAGAAACCTCCCGTCTTTGGCTCCTCCGAATAATACCCCGTCCAAGTTCTCCCCGCCCCGGATGTCCAAAAGCCCTAAAGTGGGATCCGCGCTACACGGTTCCCCGACCGAGAAGAGAGGTCCAATATCCCCGTAAGTTGAGAGATTCATGGAATCGGAGCTTCACATTTTAACATAATTCAGACCCCAAGGTGGCAACGGCGGCCCACAAATTACGGTAAAGAAGGAACCGGGATCCTCCCCACGGATACAGAGTCGGCCCCGGCCTCGGAAATTAGACCTCTCGACTAGTCTTCCATCCTCCAGTGGTTTGTCGGTTCGTGCTCCGGGGGGACCTTTGACCGCCTCGATGCACCATGTAGGCCTGGCGTGCCTGTCGCCTGGCTTCCAGACCCACGATCCGATCATGCGAGAGCAGCTGCAGCGCAGCCTCTCCGTGCGGGATCAGCAGCGATCGATCATTGAACAGCGCATGCACCGATCCGCCAAGGATGATGGTCCGGACGGCATGAAACCTTCCGAGTCGAATTTGATGGGGATGCCCAAGACCGGAAAGCGCAGACCTCCGAACGGCCTGTCCATCGTCCCTCCATCCGCTTCCCAGTTCGCAAACGAGCGAGTCATCCAATCGGCTCCGCTACACCAGACTTTCACTGGCAGATACCAACCGCAGCCATTGACCCGCCATGTCGTCAACCAAAGCCCGACCTTGGGCTCGACCTCCCACATGCATCAGCTGCCGGCCACTCAAACAAACAATCGTCTTCCTCCCCTCTCCGACGTCTTTGGTTCCGATGCATTGGGTCGGGACCGGGATTCTGGCCGGGCGAATATCCACTTGAATGCATCGAGCACCAACTCTTCCCAATCTAACAACTTGGCGCCGATGCCCTCCCCTGGTCTGCCCGGTAGCGTGTCCCACACCCCCAGCCGACCCCGCGAATATCACTCGGCCGAAGAGGCCGTGCAAGAGATGTCCGGCGGACGAGAGGAACTGCTGCCTCGCATTGTCCACTATGGAGGCCACCAACCTCCCACTCCGCCATCCCCACAAGTCCACCACGCAGGCCCCAAGACCGCGCCTCTTGCCCCAGAACCGCAAGCACCCCACGGTCCGCCTCCAGCCTCTTTTGGTATGTTCGCACCGTCCGATGTTACGGCACGTCGACGCCCTCGCAGCGAGTATGAACACGATAACGGAAGTCCGCCACTAGGTCATGGTCCCGAATCTCAATACCGGCCCAATCCAGCTGCCATGCCCGGTCCACATGCTTCGTTCCCTGGACCTTTCGGCGCAGGAAGAGACTCGCCAGAGACACAGCGGAGAAAGAAGGATGAATTCCTGGGTCTCTGTGCGCGGGCTTGGGATCTGTTCCACTCGTGATACGTGCTATGTTGGTCTATACCTCTTGTAGAGGCTTAGGTCGGCTCTGCTTCGCAAGTTCAAGTAATGATGGAATTTGCTTGGACCTACTTGCTGGCAAATGCCTAACCCACAGATCATGCCGATGCTATATCTTATATTCTCATAGGAATTTGCTGCCTTGGAATGCAAAGGCCTTTGATACTAAGTCCCAGGCGACATTTGGTCCATTGGCAAGTCCAACCAATTCAATGCCTGGGCAGTGAATGTCCATCCTCCGACTCATCCTGGACGATCGAGTCTGGAAACCTTCCATCATACCCAATGATGCTTGCATCAATTTCATGTTATCTATGCTACGACAGTATTGACAGGGCACCTTGGCACCCTGTAAAAATTTTGTGTTTGGATTCTTTTCTGCATCAAGTTTGCTTTGGGCGTTGCGGGTTCATTGCTTCGTATTATACCTTTTGGACTTGTTTTGGGAGATAAAGCATTATGGTAATGAGTTCTCTGCCTCTTATTGGCCTATTTGGAATGCCTTCTTTTCTTCTCTTTCAGCCTTTGCTATTGCCATAAGGGCCCTCAGCTCCGAGACTGGTAATTTTAATGCATCACACTCGAGAACATATACCCGTGGACATGTAAACAGATATTCAATATTCATATGCTATTTGTGCTTTTATTCCCAGATAGATCAACGCCGTATACCACAAACAGTTACTCCAACCTCCGCCTCTTCCCTCCATTAGGCATACCCCCATCCTCACCACCCTCCGCACCCCTCCTCTCCCAAGGCATCTCCTTCCGCTCCTTAGAAGTCATCTTCTTACGCCTCCTCTCCAGCGCCTTCGCCCGCTCCCTCGATCCCATCTCCGCATACTTCCTCTCAAGAACCTGCTTCTGCAACTCCGAGTTCTTAAGATAGTACGGACTAGCCTTCTTACCCTCACGAATCAACTGCTTCTCGCGCTTCTTATGCTCAGCCTGCACATCCGCCTCGCGCTTCTTATTCTGCGCCGACCGCAGCTTATCCTGCGCGCGCCGAATCTCCCCCTTCAGCTTCTCCTTCTGCTGCAGATTCTTCGTCTTCCGCATCTGCTCCTTCAACTCGTTCAGCTCTGACGCCCGGTACTCGTCCAGGAACGCATACGCCGTGCCGCCGTGCGGGTGCTTCCCCACGCCGCTGTGGCCCATGACCGCTGCGTCGAAGCGCGGGTCGCGCGACCGCGGCGCGGGCGGGAGTTCCACTGCTGTGCGCTTGCGCGTTACGGCGTATTTGGATGATTGCTCCATGGGTGCGTGCTTCGAGGAGCGGCTTTTCTTTTCTTTGGATTTGGATTTCGCGGCTGCGGCGAGCTTTTCTTCGCGTGCTTCGCGGAGTTTCGTGCGAATCTCGTCGACGGTTGAGGAGGCGGTGGTTGTGCCGTCTTTTGGTGTGCGTTTGTCTTTGCGGTTCTTCTCGCGCAGTAGGGCTTGGGCTTTGGCGAGCGCGCCGAAGGAGATGTCTGCTAGTGAGGCTTTGAAGTCGTCGTCGTTGTCGGCTTCGGATTCGGGCTTTTCTTCTATGTCTGGTTCGGAGTCGGAGTCGGAATTGGATCCTGTGTCTGTGCCTTCGGCGGAGGAGTCATCTGCTTGCTGCTTTGGTTGTTAGTTTGGTTCTAGAGTAGATGTATGGTTGGCTTACTGATTCGTTGGAGTTGGATTCGGCATCAGAGCCAGCTTGCGAATCCTCGTCGGAACCTGATGCCTCGGAGAAGACCTCCTCATCTTCTGGCCGAGCTCGCACTCGGCGATTGAGCAGATCGGTAATAGCCATTTTGTTGTTGCTGTAGTTGGAAAACCCCGCGGAGGAAGAACCGTCAAAAAGAAAAATATTGCCGCTTGGGGCGGTCAGAGCGATAAGAACTGATTAGATATTTTTCGCGATGCTTTGATGGGAGGAACGTTCTTAACCACTTGGGCAATTTGCGTTTGTTTTATAAATGTTCCTGCATCTTCTGCGTGGCCGAGCCTTCCCTCATTCCCCGCTTACTTTATCGCGTCACTCTCAGCATCTTCTCAGAGCAGCCAATCAGGTATTGCCTCCACTATTCGCTACGTGGATAGCATGTGTCGATTGTTGATTATTCTGACTTACTTTTAAATAGCTTCTTGCAGTGTCAAATCCTGGCGCTCTGAAATCCCGGAGATTCTCTACTCTCCTATTATCACGTCGCACCTCCCTCAAGCTGTCTCGCGCAAACAAAAGACGCCCTACGTCCAAACACCAGTCGAATTCAGTTCCCCAGCATGCCGATTCAGATTATGTGGTGAATATGAACCCTGGATCAGCAAAGAATGGACGGGGGGCCAGTCGGCAGGCCCCCTCACACAACTCTTGGGACCGCAATGCCCCTCGGGATGTACATCGCAATGCGGGATATCCTGTGCCGTCGCAGTATACTCCTACGCAGAGCATGAACTCGAATTTTGGATATCAGCCTCCACAGGCTAATCAAACGCCACCGGCCTATCAATCTCATGGCTATGCTCCTGCCATGCCACAATACCAACCACAAATACCTCTGGGACAAGGCCAACAATTCGGTGCTTTTAATACTTTGCCGCAAAGCCCAATGAGCATGGATCAAACTTTCTTTCAAATGGCACAGGCTATGCCCTGGATGAACCCTGGCTTTGATAGCGGGATGCCATTCCCACCTTTTCCTTTCCCTGTCGATATGAATACCCCACTACCCTTCCAAAATACCCGATCCATGAGCACGATGGCCGGTGGCACGGGGCAACGGTTCGCGTCCCCCCAAAGACAACGCTCGCCAACACCACCAGTCAAAGTCCCGCTTCCAACACTGCAATACACAAACCAAGCGTCATTGAAGCCAGAGAAGACAGAAAAGCGACCACTCCTTGTCATCCTCGATCTCAATGGCACCCTCATTTACCGCAAGCTTCGCAAATTCCCGCCGAAATTCGCCAGACGCACCGGCCTAGATGAATTCCTAGCCACGCTAATCAAAGACTACAAAGTCATGATCTGGTCCAGCTCCCAACCGCAGACTGTAGATGCAGTCTGCGAGCAGATCTTCCCAGGTCCCATGCACGACGCCATCGTCGCCCGCTGGGGACGCGACAAGTTCGGCCTGACCTCCGTCCAATACAACAAAAAGCTCCAGGTCTACAAGGAACTGCACAAAGTCTGGGCGGAGACAAATATCCAAGGCGCATTCCCAGGCAACGAGCATCTAAAAGACCCCCCTGCCTCATCACCAGGCACCAATACACCGCACAAGAACCGCAAGCAAAGGCTTCGCGATGCCGAGGCCGCAAAGCTCACCGCGGGCCACCGCTGGGACCAGACCAACACCATTCTCATCGATGACAGCAGAACTAAGGCTTCCAGTGAGCCGTACAATATCCTTGAGATCCCGGAGTTCAGCAATGATCCCAATATCGATGAGACCGAGCTCTTCAATAAGGTCCTTCGCCGTCTCGATTATCTCGCCCACCACGACGACGTGAGCAAGGTCCTCCACGCCTGGAACGAACGCGTGGAAAAGGGCGAGGGAACTATCCTTGATTTGGATATCGGCCTCCACGAGGATTCTGTCGACGACGAGGACGGCGGGATTAGTCTTCTCCCAACGCAGTTGAACGCTTCAAAGCAGCTGAATGCCGGCTCTAAAAGCGATCCCATAACGTTTGATGGTTCGAGAGATGTCCCTGCTCCTACAACTGCCAAGTCCAAGAGAAACAAGAAGGTCAAGGCTAGAGCCAAGGCGAATGCCGCAATTATAATAGCCCCGAACACTGCAGCTACGGGACCCGCAACCGCCACTACTGCAACCCAGCCAACGCAATCCCAACAGAAAACAGAAGCGCAAAACGGGGAAATCCCAATGAGTCGCAAGGCGCGCAAAAGAGCCAAGGATGCCGCGGCCGCGGCGGCTGCCGCCACCGCTGAAGCTAAATACCAGGAGCCCCACGGTATTCCCACGCCGAACGTTGACAATGCAGCGAGCAGCCAAGTCGTCGCCAGTATCGAGCCAAACGTACACGATTACCCAATTGGCAAAAAACCGAGTCGTCGAAGACAAAAAGGCCTCGCCAGAAGGGCTAAGTTGGAGGCTGATCCTCCTGTGGGTGAGCCTGTACAGCACAGATACATCTTCCGGAATAGGGATGTTGCTGCTCCTCCTGAAGCTGAAGCCGAAAATGCTTCTGCTTCTGCTTCTGGCCCTGGTTCCGGGACGGTCTTCGGGTCCGCCTCTGCTACTGCCCACGCTGCCAATGCTGCAAAGATCATAACAAGCGGATTATCTCCTGAGTATCTCCCTCCAGATGCGGATCTGACAGTAGGAATGCAATTGGACGTGGACGCGTATGTTCCGCCGGAAGTCATGACCACGTCGGGAGCTAAGCATGGCCGGTCCCCGTCACCCGCTTCATCGGTAGGGTCGAGGAACTCGCTGCTTGATCGTCTGGAGGAGGGCCTTGGGATTGGGAAGCGGTGAGGTGTGTTTAGCTGTTAGCTGTTCTCGTGGTTGATGCATGGATTCATTCTGAGCGTAGGCCTCTTTTCGTTCTGCCTCCCATTTGCGTTGTTTCTTAGATATCCCGTCTTGTGTATTCTTACCTGTTTTAGATGGCTGGGTTTGTGGTTTGTGATGCCCGATGAATACTATTGCATAGTCAACGCATTGGCTCTGTCATACCATATTGGTTTCGTTTATTTATCGTGTATCGTGTAAATGGCGCCCTCCGACATTTCGCTGCTCTTCCTCCGTTTCTCTGTATTTTCTATTCTTCTGTCTCTATATCTTGCACTCATCGCCCGCCAAATCAGACCCGCCGACTGCCCCATTCATCCCCTATTATTTTTCGGTTTAGTTAAAACTACAAAGAAGTATGGGATACATTTGCACAAGGGCTCCACTATATAGGTCTCTCCACAGCCCGTGGCACCGCACCACGCTACGCTCCAAAGCGCACTCTTCCACACCTCGATCTACTTTTCCGCCACAAGCTGAATTGCGAGTACCTCGTCGTTCCCTTATAAGGAGCCAGAGGAGGTTGCGAGGATTATCTGGGATTATCTTTTGTTTTATCCTAGGTTGAGCGTTGGGGAGTCTTGTTGAATTTGCGTCGTTATTCTCGCTTGAAATGTGAGCAAAAGAAAGAGATTGTTCACAAACAACGAGGCTCGCTACTTAGTCATATATATACATGAAATGGATAGTTATAGAAGGAAGTAGAAGTCAGTGAATGAGCATTATCTTCGAATGCTTTTAGAAGAGCGTTATCTTCTCGATATCGTTGCTGCTCTTGGCAAGAATGACCTTCTTATGACAGAGGTCATTTCTGCGAGAGGCTATTCTGACACACCTCTGGCGGGGGAATATGTGAGTGCAGAATGCAAGATGCGAGTGCATTATTTCATGGTCTCACCATTGCCTTGCACAAGACATCAAGAGCAGGGCCAACCGGGATATACATTGATTATGCGTTCCGGCAAAGACACATAAAAATCGAGAATAGCAATGTCAGTTCTCATACCTGCCGAACCGACATCTCAAGGTAAAATCAACCCGCCCCAAAAACAGCACCCCAATACTCCCTCACCGCATCACAAACCCCCTCATTCGCAGTCCAACTCCGGAACTTATCCTCAAGCTCGCAAGCCGTCCAAAGAATCTCCTGCCAGAAACCCTTCTCGACATCAACCCTGCCATTGAACCCCCGCACAACATCCACCGGCAGCGTCCAGGCGCGCGTATACTCCCCCTCATCCGTAAACGCAGGGTTAACATCATGGAGCTGGAAGACGGTGGCGGGATTGAATTTAGGAAAGTTGGCGTGGATGAAGAAGACGTCTGGCGCGGGGGCGTCGTCACCTCTGACACGCCATATCCCGCGACTGGTCAGGGCGAAGTCCTGCACGGGATCGAACTGCGCCATTGCGGAGCCGGCTATGCCGCCGTGAATGGTTTCGTGGCCGAGGGCGCAGATGGACTCGCTGACTTGGTGGAAGGATTCGTGCATGGCGGTCGCGGCTGCGAGGAAGGTCTCCTTGTCGCCTTCGCCGGCGGCGCCTTGTGAGAGGAGGGGGTAGTAGTGCGAGGGCCCGTGGTAGTTGTAGTATGTTGCGAGGAGGAGGGAGCGGAGATGGGATCGTTTGGAGAGGAGGACTTCGCCTGATTCTGTCGACTGGCGCAGGTCCATTGGTGGGGGCGGGTGGTTTGCGATTTCGTAGAAGTGTGGGGAGGCGGAGGAGGCCCAGAAGTCGGGCCAGGTGACCATGCCATTTGAGAGGAAGGGCTCGGTGGTGAAGAGATGTTCTGGTTTCTTGAGGGGGAAGGCGTCTGCGTCTAGGAAGAGGATTTCTTCGAAGGAGGAGAAGAGCATTGCGAGGGGCTTGAATTGGTATTTTTGGATTTGGGCTGGGGCCGCGATGAGGATGCGGGATAGAACTACGCACTGCGCGTTCAGCGAGGGTAGAACTACATCGCATATGTAGTGTTCGTACTCGTCTTCGTCGGAGAGAAATACCTCCATCGGGAGCGTGGAGCCGGTTCGGCGGAGCATGCGGAGGGATATCACTAGCACTGGGAGGTAGGGGCCCCCTGCTGTTGAGACTATGCCTTTTGTGTTGGGGAGGTAGGGGAGCTCGGGTGGGGAGTCGGCGATTGCATTGACGAAGCCAGTATGCGCTTCTTTCATGGTTGTGATGTCTTCCTCCGGAACGTAGAGGGTATCTGGACGTGGTGGTGCATTGTGAGCATTGAAGCCTTCTGTGGGCGCCCTCTGATATTCGATGATAGGCTCTGTGCCCGGCGCATATTTCTCTAGCAGGGCGTGGAATTCTTGCCAGAATTGGCGATGTAATGGTGTCAGGTCTGTGGTGATGGCCTGTGGAAACGAGATATTGGGTATGTAGGATTTGAACTCTCTCAATATTGCCCAGGTGAGAAAGATAGCGAGTATCAAGGCTGCCAACAGCGCTCGCACGCGCAGAAAGGATCGCGGGATCATCGTGGAATGTCTCGGATGTAAGTGCTCTACCCCACAGCTTGATCGATAAGATCGACGATCGTTCCAATGACGTCGATGGTCATGTATTCAAGGCGAGCTATTGCAAGTCACTCAATGGAGACATGCCATTTCCAGAATGTAAATGTAAGATTATCCCGATTGCACAGACCGCTTTTTCGGCCGTAAATAAGCCTTGAAGGATTCATGTAGAGAGGCAATCTTTATATCAGGTTCTATATATCATTGGTCAGCATGGCGTTCCAAATAGCCAACGAGGTCATACGGGAAACACTATTTGTTTTAAGCTACTTTGGGTAATCACATGACTTACGATACTATTCGGATATCACCTGATCTGTCGTATATCAATTCAACCAATAATAGAAAATTTACTTCTGAAACCGGTGTGGAACCATCTATAATTGCTCTGTAGATCTGTTGATCCGGCAAGATCGCCTTCCTCTCTCCGTCAGCCACGTCTGGCTTCTTCCCTCATTCTGCCCATGTGCAGCGCAGCCCTTGTCGCTCGCCAAAGGCCATGGTAAGGGACGGGCTGACTAGATCTAATCCTGATCCTCACCCTGTCTAACATTCACCCCATACTTCTTCAATTTGCCAACAGTATGATCATCGAGGCGAGCACTAATTAATACGTCAGCTCATGTTCTGATAATCAGAACCCCTTTGAAGCCAAGGAGATACTTACGTGGGTAAAAATAGGATGGGAGGATAGCTCCTGGTCGATAGATAAGAATCTCTTTCGAAACCGGCCTCTTCGATGATCCTGAATTCATTGTTAGCATGGTTGTACGAGTTTACTCTATGCTGTATATAGACTTACTGATAAATTGTGTTCGCGTGATCCGTATATGCCTCTATATCCTCAAAATAAACGTGTGTCTTTATAGCACAAAGAATGTTAGCGTCGAGCCGTTGAATAGGAAGCATTTTTACCTGGTTGTGGCTATAGTTGTCGATAACATACCGTGGGCATTTTGAAATAATAATTAAATTGACTGTAGAAGGTTCTGACTATAGAAGATTCTAAGACCAGGCAAGAAGGTCCTACTTATATCATATTCGGTGGTAGAAAGGGAAACTCAATGGAATCATTGTTGAGCTGAAATCACCCGTGGCCCCAACGGAATGGACATGCTAAGCGGTGAGCATCAACAGTGGAGGCCAACCCCACGATGGCGGCCTGTACACACTAAGCAGGGATTAAGCAGGGACTATAGTAGGGATTATAGCAGACAGGAGGACCGAGGTGGTAGCGACGTCATTAGAATCTAGTCCGGAATATCTTTGCGTGAGCAGCTGAAGAAAGATCTGCTAGGAACTATTGGGTTTGTGGGGTATAGGAAATGTACGGATATCAAAATCGGCGAACACTAGCTCGGCGCTAGAAAATGTGAGCAGTAGGATCCGGTTGGGTTTTATGCCATTGGCTCATGGGCTGGGTCCGGGTTGCCTATAAGCACGTTACACGTATACCTATAAATCATTGATGAACGTGAGAGACGAGAAGAGCCGAGGAAAGAAAAAGAACCCAAAAATTAGTCCATTGAACGGTGACTGTGTACTAACGCCTAGCACAACTTCAAATCTGATATGTGAAAGACGGAAATCCCTGTATCGGTCCATGTCTAACCTCCTCTCTCAAAGCCTTCAGCTCTTTATCTTTCTGTGCACTTTCTGCCTTCAACTCCTCATTCCTATGAGTAAGATATTCAATCCTCTTAAACGCAATTGAGATGGTTGTCAGTTTCCGAGCAAGTTTATGCGACAGATCGACCACAAACTCTCCCCCCTCTGTGATAAGTTCGTCCAGATCCTCGCTAACCAGCGTGGTGTACCGCAGTGCCACGAACTGAGATAGCAAGTTCCTCGCATTATCAATAGTACTAGTCGTCTTATAGACCAGTCGGATTGCATCCACCAAGTACGGGAATAGGATCTTGTCTGTCTGCTCCAGGGCAAGAAGGACCTCAGCCAGACGATTCAGAGCGAATTGTTCCAATTTCACGAAGTCGAGTTGCCGTGCGAAGGAATACACTTTAGCGTGGAGATAAATCTCAGCAACGTTTTCTTCGGCTTCTTGTTCTGGTTCTTCTTCCTGGTCTTGGTCTTCTCCTTCGTGGTCTCCGACCTTTTGCGCCGAGACATGCTCCGTGGTCAGAGTGACTCCATCGCAGTATTCTAGAGGAGTCAGAGGCCGGTCGTTTAGATCGCACTCTGATAGGGCCAGGGATGGTGGCGAGTCTGGGGCTATGGGGGACTCCGCAACGGGTTGCAGAATCCTTGGACGCGCAGGAAACATTGGACATGGTGACTGTGGCCATGAAGTTTGTGACTGTGGGCTGTCAGGTGGTGATTGTGGTTCTACATCGTATTAGTGTCTCGATATTTTTGATACCGAGATGGGAAGATATAAGAGGGGGTTTATTACCATCTTCTTCATCCGCTTCCTCTGCCTCGTCCA